ATAACTTCTGTGTAACTTCAATGAAATTTTTAACATATGATTTACATATTCTATAGGCATACTTTTTCAAGAATTTGGGAAAATGTGTAGGCGTTATCCAAAATAAAACAAAAATCAAAATTGCATAAAATATTAATGAAACTAAAATCAAAATTTGCTCAAAAAACGTGAAATATAATTTAATAGCTAAATAACGATACTGTTTTGTTATCGATAACATTCGAAGAGAAAAAGGTATCGATTATTTAAAACACACGTTAGCTATGCTATTTCAAGTCTCTAGCTCTTATACATTCTAAGCTGGAAATGGCTAGATCGACTCAGCTCGTCGTGATAACAGAGAATATATATTCTCTGCATAAACATAATTTCCTATTTTCAACTGGCACTATGCAGACTTACTAGACAGCACATGTTGCTTTCAAAACTAACTTTTAGATGCGATTGTACAAGTGGCATAAGTCATGCTGCAGTGGTTAAAGCGAACCCTTTTGGTGTTGCAGCCCACAACGTCTAAGTCAACACAGCTGAAACGTGTGCCAAATGCGTCCGCACACCGGCACACTGAGAGAGTTAAACAATAAATCCGCATTAAGTTTAAACGCAAACACGTCGCACACGAACTCAAAGAAATGCAACTCAGTTCGCAACTTGCCGTCTGTCGACTAATTAACTTACCTGCATGTGGGTAAAAAAGTTCATGGCGATTAGTTGGGCAAACCTCAGCGAAAGCCATAAACTGTCGTGCGACAACTTTCAGCAATTAATTATCCGCAAAGTTTTCAATTACGAGCCAATTACGAGCAGCCATCAACCCATTATTTCGCACACACTCGACGCACGAGCAAAAAGACAAACTAAAAAGAAGAGTCAAATGAAATTTTATAGAGCAATCGGCACACACGTACGACTCGCTCACTAGCCCACCGAGCCAAACCCAAACCCACCTGTGCTGTGCTCTGCTGAGTGCGTTAACGCATGCGACTCGATGACACGTTTTGCCAACACATCATGGCGCAGGTATGTGTCCGCCGCCATTTTACGGAAATGCAGCCAGCGGCAGCCAGTCCAAAAACCTGGCTGGCAAATATGGCGCCCAAACAATGGTCGCCTTCCACTGTGGGAAATAGTGTTTTTGTGCAAATTTGCCCGAAATCGCAATCATGTCGATGTTGCCGGCAATGAAGTTTGCATATGGGATTTGGGCATTCGCGGAATGAGGCTTTGCAGACGGCATGTGGGCGTATGCCACAGCGTCTGTCCGATTCCAGGCAACATTTTGTTGACAATTAAAATGTACTCTTCATTAAGGTATAATTGTGCATTCTATCAACAGTCAAACATTTTCGAAATTACTCTGCCAGCAATGGAAGCGCCGGAACAATATTTGACAGCAAATAACGCAAATTTGCAAACCCAATCGAGTTGCGAAGGTCCAAATCAATTATTCAAAATTTAGCAATAAAATGTTAATTGCTTTTATTACAAGTGTTATAACATCTATAACCTTTCTATATAGACAATGATTCCATTCAAACTAACCATTTTCAGCAAATATAAATCCAAAAATTATTTTATTATTGCATTACAATTTTCAACGTTTCGAGTGTAATTACATTTTGTACTTTTACAGTCGTATTATATATTACTAAGCTAAAAACAAATAAGGGTGCTTTAGTACGTATTTTTATGAATTTGATGATTAGGGCGAGGTATTAAAAATCTTAGTTTAAAAACTCTCTATACATGGAACATGACTAGTTAGTTTTCTTAGTTTGAAGATATAAGAAACATATATTCTGAGTATCTCCAAACTGCGAGCTCAAAAACCTTAAATTACAAATGAATTTATATTATCGCAAGCAAACTCATAAGTCAAAGATCTGGGGCATAAATAAAATTACTTTAAGTGACTACAGATTGGTAAATGCCTTCTATAAAATTAAGCCCATTAGAAAATTAAGCTGAATAACGAATATAAATTAATAAATATCAATATGACATTTGACCTGCTTTATAAATAGTCAAAATTCTGTAATGTTAATCATCGAGATGCGATAAGCATTGCCATAGACAAGCATGAGGTCTCAGTCGATATTTTATTAATAACAGATACAAATTGTCACCCACGTGTAATGAGCTCGAATCACCTGCCCAGAACGACGTCTGCCAAATTTATCAAGTCGCGTGTTCATAATGACCCCAATGAAAAAATAATTGATTGAACTTAATTGTGCTACGGCACATGGGGGTCTGTATGTGCGAGTGTGCACATAGTTCATATGGGTCATTTAATCAAACTGCATCTATTTCGGGCACAAACAATGCGATGAGTGTGAGCGGCGGGAGTAAGCGACTAGGAAATACCCAGCCTGTGAATGAGAGCTATCGTCTTACACGTCATAGGTATTTCATTAATGCATAAGCTGGTGAATAATGTGGTCTATGAAGAGATTGATATTGTGATAATGACCTGATGGGATGAGGCTTTAATAGAGCAGTGAATCACCTGAGCTTAATAGCTTCTCATGTTTAGGTACGTTATATCATCTATCATGAGCTCAAGCTATGTCTTTCTAATAGATTCTTACATATAACTACTCTGCGTATCAACTCTTGTTGACACATTTTCAATAATTACAGGGTATAGTCGAGATCTTATCTAAATTGAGGCATGTTAAGCTTTTAGTAGAGCGTTCGATGTGAACAAAAATAAATTCGATATGCATATGTATGTGTACATATATGCATACTGGACTGTTTTCAACATTTGCATTATTTATGAAGCTGTCAGGCGAAGGCAGCCAACGCAAACCACATCAGGTTAAAAGCCACGCAATGCCACTTGCTACAACTGGACTAACCAATTCAATGTATATACTCTTACGTGTGGAGAGATAACGCTTAAAGCTTAATTGGCCAATTTTTAGAGGAGCGAAGGCATCGAGTCCACTTTTCTTCAACTCATTCGAGCCAGTTGCCATCAGTCTTAGATGTCCATTTACATCTCAGCACAGTGCGATTGAGAATCAGCTGAGCCATCATCATCAACAATGGAGCACTTTAAGTGGAGAGACTAGCTGAACGCCTTCACATGTCCGTTTCTATTATCCGAGCGCATTTATCTAACATTGCCAATTGGATTTGTAATGTGTAACATGAGCGTGAGGCCAGATAATGAGACGAGATACGAGAGCACACGATTGACTAAGCCGTCTTATTAAAAGTGCATAAAGTGAGTTAAGTTGTTGCATTAAGATAATTTAAGTTGATTTTATGCAACCTTGATTTTAAGTTAGTTAATCGTAAGTCTTATTATGTACCACAAAAGTAGGTTTAGTTAAGATGATTTATAAAAATTTTTTCTAATGGTGAATAATAGAAAATATTTCTATAATCCTTTCAAGACTTAATTGATAATGTGTTGGCTCATGACTCTTAGCTTATTTTATCCCTAATCTGTCTTGGCATTATGCTGAGAACAGTTTAAATCTCAAGTCAAAAACCTAATATGTCTTTAAAACACAAAACATATATATGTTTAGAGATAAAGCAGAGTTCATTATATACATTATACAGACAGAGCTTTCAAGCAGGGGTTGCTGAGGGAGAAAAAAAATGAACGCAATATGAATTTATTGGTCAACCCATTTCCATTAGGGCAGCCGTGAGCGTAGTCTGTGCTGATGCTAAGGGCAGTCGAAGCCAAATTCAAACAAAATCCAAGTGCTTTGGTTCGAAGTTGGAGCGTATTGAAATGAAGGTCAACTAAACTGCGTTGTCGGACGTAGATGCCTTGCTGGAGTGGTGGTGGGGCAAGGACAATTGAAGTGCACACACGGCAAACTTGTAAAGCACTCAGTTAAATTGTCCAACTGAGTGACGCGTATGCCGTAACAGTAGTACCTCGTACACACAAACACACACATATCGAGGGCTTGGCAAAGTGCTTGCCAGAGCAGTGCAAGGTTAACGAGCACTGGGCTATGGCAGCAATGGCAGCAATGGCGCGAAATGGCGCAACAGCAAGAGAGTCAGAGAGACAGTGAAATATTGAAATACAATTGAGTTTAGAATTTGCAAGGAAAGCGCTTTAAAAGCAACGGCAGTAGAAGTTGCCATGACATAAGACCGAAAACTGAAGACATTGTGGTCTCGCTGTCAGCGACAGCGGCTCACTCAAAGTGTAAATCCTTTAGGTACAAACAAACGTGGCCCGTTCCGGCACATGCTCCTTCGTCAATCAACGCCGACCAACGCCATTGAGTGGGACACGTTTCGTGCAAGTTTCCTGCTGAGCCAAAGTTCACAACAAGCCAGGCGACACATGACACGTACTCAGTTCGACTTGAAGCCCAGCTCTCGCCTCGTGCCGTCTGGTCGTGTCGTGTCGCGTCCCATTTTGCCTCATCCAGGAGTCGGGATTATTTTTAGTTTTTCTCTTTTCGGCAGTATTTTAAAGTTTAAAGCTCTTTTGTGGCATATTTGCATATTAAGTGGCATGCGTTGAACGTTTGCAACTGACGCAAGTGCCCCAAGCATCTCGCAACAGCAACAACAACAACAACAACTAACGAGTGTGTGGCAGCAGCAGCATAAAAGGCAAGTGGAGTAAGGTGAAGTAGATGGGGTGTTGGCTTCTATAGTTTTGCACTTGACGCAGGTGGAGCTGTTGTTAGTTTGCGTAGGCTTATTGTTTGAGCCCCCGAAACCGTTATGCCAAGTTGCAAAATGTCAAGAATCAGTGCCAGCCGCACTCACTGTGTGTGTGCGGATTATAGCACTCTCTCCATCCCCCTGTTTATGTGTGTGTGTGTGTGTGTGCCTCAGCAGCTACGCCTATCTCAAAATAACTGTTAAGACTTTAAAAGCTCGACAAGCTGAAACATCAAATTACCATAGGATAAAAGGATTTTCCGATTTAATTTATAATGAAAGGAACTTTAGCAAATACATTTTCACATTTATCATACTTAGATATTAAAACTTGATGTATATCACGCGATTACCTCACCAAGCAACCGACGAAACAATTATATCTAGATACTAAACATCTAAAATCTCTTCGATCTGAGCAAACAGACTAAACGTTAAAACTTGCATAAAACCTAAAGCTATAACAAGCTGTGATGCCATTGCTGTCTTTATATACATTGGTTTTGAGTATGTGTCAATGCGTTTATTGGCCATTCATAAACTGGTCCACCTGCTCGCTGATGGTCTTTAGTATCATCTCGGCTGGGTTCGAGCAACCGTTGATGACCCCGTCGACACATGCTCGCACCGTTATGCGATAGTATTTACTGGCCTGCAGGCCGGTCGCATTGAAATAATGCTGACTACCAGGTAAGCTGGTGCCAATTGGCTCTTCCTCGACGACGCATTTCTGCTCCAGTCGATAGCCCACAGATGCATGGGCATCCTGGCACTTGGGCATCGCATGCTGAATGATAAAGTCGGATTTGTTTGTGTCCTGCAACTGTCGCATTCTGTCCTCGATGTATTTGCGAAATATTTCATATTGCTTGGCCGCGTCAGTTTCTTCCTGGGAAACTGTTTCGTTCTGGTTTGCCGTAGACTGATTGTTGGCACTTAAAGTCGAGTTGTTGTCGACGAGCGGAGGTGCAGGAGTCGTTGTACTCGTGCTGTTGTCATATGCTACTAGCGAGGGCCCAGCGAGAAGGTCCTCAAAGCTTTTAACCTTGTCGAACCTTTCCTTCTTCGTTTGCAGTTTGCGACGTCTGGGATAATGGAAAAAGGCAACTTACTACGAGACGGCAGGGACATCAAGCAAAAATAATACTCACGAAACATATATCAGATTTGGCAGCGCATCCTCATATGTTATCTGCTCCTTGTTGTAGTAGTGCTCATCCTCCGGCTGGGGTCCCGAATTGTACGGCTCCAGATCATTGCAGACGCAGTCTAGCTCGCAGGTGTCGCATGTCTTAAAGGTGGAATAGTTCTTTGTGCTGGCCTCTGCCTCGGTTAGATTGTGCAACTCAATGTTGACAATGTATTTTGATATGATGCCGTTGGGCCGAAGTGGGGGCCACCAGTAGACCATCTGCAAAGCAGGCAAGAAATAGACACGGCATGAAGTCTAAGCCAAACACTTACAATCTGCGTACTGTGGTCCGAGCTCCCATGCAGCTGGCTCACTGGACTCGGCTTGCTGGGAAGCGTGCGAAAGTAGAGAATCTTTGAGTATGCATCAACCTGCATGTGGTAATCGGTGCGAGTTAAGGTCTTCACAAAATATGCATACTGTGTATAGGGCTTCAGTTTGGAGATGACATGACGGCGATTCTTGCTTGGAGAGACATCCATTAGCCAACTAGAAAGAAGTGAAGTAAGTTAACAATATTTGAAGTAGCTAATTTCTACTCTCACTCACTCGTCATGTCCACAGCCGTGTCGTCCGTCGTACTTGGTTACATTACGCTGCGGCGCTTCCATATAGTGATAGGAGTAGCCTATGAGTATTTCCACATCCTCAGATTTCATAAAGTCTATCACAATGCGAACAGCCGTTGAATTGACGTCCTCAACTTTAACGTTCAGAGTCCGCACCGAATCCCCACATATCACACGCTCGCCGTTTGAGTTGGGCGATACATCAGCTATCGATATCGTCCTGACACTCTTTAGAGAGGACTGCAATTTTTGGATTTTTTCAAAGCATAATCGTGGATTCAAGTGAAAGAATATTGTGCCACGTTGAATGGCCACCTGACGATTGGCTGGCCAAATATGTTCCATGTGGTAATTGTTTACAACATATAGAGCATATCTGGAAGTTAAAGTTTGAGATATGTATGTTATAAGATTAAACAATGAAAAGAATTTAATAATAATAATGACTGCAACAGGATAAGTAGCGCCTCATGATTTTCAACAACAGTCTTAGGGCTGTCAACTTATCTAAAAATTATAATAGTTTTAAGTTAGAATATTTTAAGAGCCTACATACCAAATTAACTATTTCGAGCTCTTAAAGTTATGTCAAAAAACAGAGTATAAAATATTAACTTTTATCGATATTTCATATCAAACCGGACTTAGATTTGTGAAGCTATCTTAAAACTAGAATATTTGTTAGCTCTGTAGTCTAAAATAACTACTTAAGTGTTTCAAGCTCATAAAATATTCGAGTTATGCCTAAAACAGCCTTAATAATATTCAGTTTGCTCCATATTTCATGTAAAACTGGTCTTAGTTCTAAAAGCTATAATATTTATAAGCTCTGGACTCTATAAGTCTATAATATACATATCCGGTTAATTTTGAACAGGTCCTAAAGCCTTCGAGGTATCCTACTATTCTATCAATTTTCCTACTATGTATTTCATTTGTCTGACTGAACTCCTTATGCCCTTTATCTATGGTTTATAAACGAGCTCACTTGTTTTCTATTAGCTGATCGCCACGTATGGTATCCAAGTTACTGAGGAAGGTCAAGGACATAAGCTGTGCTGAGTGTATAACCTTTAGGTAGCCGGTAATCTCCTTAATGCTGCCCATGGCCTGCTCTAGAGCAGATACAATTTTTTCTGAAATAGTTGAAATTGTTAACAAATATTTCTTATAGAGGTTTTTTTGATTACCCTTGATATCCACTAGCTCTATAACCAGGGATCCATTGATGGTCACACAGTCTTGCAGTTGCTCTAGATCTGCCATTCGCTTAATATGGAATGTCCCCTTGCACTCCAGCTGGCACTGGAGCGTTCCATTGGCATCAATTACGGGCTTGTGGTTATTGGGACAATGATCCATGCAGCGATAGCCGCGCGTCAATGGAATTAGATTAAGCTGGCGACATTCCTTATAGGAGATGCAGTGCCTCTTGTGTAGCTCATAGCTGGCAATGCACTGATCCACACAGCGGCCATTCCGAAGATAATTGCCACAGAGCGTGCAGCTCTGAGCCGAGCAGCCCGTAATGCAGCTGTGCTGGCAACAATTCCCTTTGTCATCACAGCCATTTCGACCACAACTCTTGGCGCACTTTTCAGTTTGGGGCGGGGCGAAGCGCACCTGGGCCACGTGCATATTCCAGCAATGCCTCGTGTAATTGTAATTGATCGAATAATCAGCAGAGAGGCCGCCACATACAGGACAATGGTTCGGCGACTTGTTGAGCTTTAAATTACAATTTTGAAATATATAATTTTTAAATTTCGATTTCTTAAAGAACAGGGAAATTAGATTAGATAAAATGTAATCAAGTTACTCAGAGAAATCAATTCCATTATTCTATTTCCAGTGTATAATAATGCATGTACTCAAGCTTTTAGGCCTTTAAGTCGCTCTTAACTTACTTTGATATAGAAATGCTGTTTGGTAGCATTGCCAGCCAGGTAGACCCAGTCGACGGTATGTACGAAGCACAGCATAGGATTACTCTCGACCCGAATATGACCGTCTTGGATGCGCTGCAGCTGCACCAGACCCAGCTCCCGTAAATTGCGATTCTCGTAGACGATGAGTGCATACAGATTCATAAGGAGCTGCCTGCCGCGTATTAGGCGCAGCTTAGGGAAGATGGTCTCCAGTGTGAGCAGCCCGGTGGAGCGATAAATCAGCAAATAGTCAGTGATCTCTGTTAGCTCGCTGCTCAGCTCGGTGAGGCTTACATTGCTGGGCAGCTGGAGGTTCGCAATGTGCACATGACCCACTACAACGCTGCAGTTGCGCAGTTGATCGAAATCCGCGATGCTGCGAAGCTCCAGGGAGCCGCAAATAATTTCCGATCTGGTTGCAACTGGCCACAGCAATAGCAGCCACACCATGTGCCACATGTTGACTCTATTTCGTAGCCAACTGACACTTTCAATTGAGAGCACTTGACCCAATTGGCCTCTTTAGCATTGATGTACGCAAGCGTAAGTTGAATGACAACGCGAAGTATGGAATGGAAAATGTGGACGGCAATTAGTGCAACGCGACAAAAATTACACACTTGAATGCCAATGTCGTTTGATGTTCACCCTGCCTTGTGGCTATTTCTGTACCCGCTTCCGAGTGGGACACGCGCTCCACTAGCGACGACGTTTCAGTTTCAACTGATTTGACCGACGAGCAAAACGACGAACAACGGCAATTCAGTTCGATCTTTTCAATTAGCTAGAGCCCTGCCTCCATCTTTGCCGATTTGTTTTGTTTTTACTTTTCGGACCTGAGGCCAAGTCTTCGCTTTAAAATTCTTCATTACACCAGCTGCAAAATGTTAGTGCCTTAAGCATAATTTTGCTTTGTATAGATGCGTGTTCTTTATTTTGCGACGGGTGTAATCGAACTGAAGAACGGTGCAAAAATATCATATGAAGTGATCTCCTTGGAAGGGAGACTGAAGTTATATAAACAATCAATTTTATTATAAAATAGAAATAAATAAACAAAATGTCAGTCTACTTATGCCGTATTGCAATAATTACTTTATATTAAACAAGTTTTTGATTCCTAATCCCCAGTAGCCCCGCCACTGTGGATCTTATCCAATCGCTCGTTTTTTGTTTCACGTGCTCGTGTCGATTCCTTCAGGCAGCTGTTGCCCTTCAATTTAGTTAGTTAAGTCTTCCACTTCCTTTCTGCCGGCAGTAAGAGCAAACCTCAATCCATGGCGCACCAATGCAGCTGACAAACCAGTTTGCCAGTCACAGTCGCAGTCGACGTCGCCGTCGCCGTAGACGTTGCCATTATTGTCTGTTTCACTCTTTCTTTTTGTTTTGTTTTGATTGTTTTCTTTAGATGTTGCGTTCAGTGATAACAAAAAGGCGCCGCTGTGCAAAAATTAAGTTCTAACGGCGAACATTTCAATTAGAGCAGAGCAAAGCAGAAAACGAAGAGCAGAAAGCGAACCGCAGCAACTGTGAGGAAATGGCACAGAGCAGACAATGCGCAGTTTGAGTTGGGTCAATTCAAGTACAACTAATGCTTACAATGTGCAATTGCAAATCTGTTGCAATAGATTCGAACGAAATTAAAAATAATTGCAGTGAAAATTGGAAATGCACTAAGGAAGTAACAGGCGATACTATGGGAGAAATTCTAACAGATGCATTAAACTGCGGCTTGGTGTGTGTGATGAAAGTGAAATGAAATGAATGAAAACTAAAACTATTTAAAAGAATCCACTAAAATATAGATAGTATAAATGATCGAAATCGCTTAAAATAGAAATCGCTTAAAATAGGAATCTATTATAGACTGAAAAAAGCAGTTGAACTATAAGTGCATAAAAATTGTAGAAAGAAAAATTCAAACGTATTCCCATATACCACAAATCGCAATGCGACAAAATATGTGGTTATAAAAATGGGATGCGTGTCAAAAAGCCAAATGTGATAGGATAAATTCATGAGACGACAAGCCTCATACATCATTGGACCACTGCGATATTCATCAGCTGCACGATATGTGTATATACATATACGAACGCATATGCAGTCGGCCGTGCGCTGCACTAAATCAATTTCCAAAAGCATTTTTGCGGTTCGTGGTGATGAGTAGAGTGAATTGAATGCTGCATACTTTCAACTATGTATGTGTATATGAAGTTGTAGTGCGGCTCGTTATAGTTTCCCGGGCTCAGCGGTTATTGAATACGCCAGCTGGAGCGACACGGTGGACGCAGCCACACGGCCGCACATCCACGAGCTATATAATCCACTGGCACGCCAACTGGGAGACACCTTCGGCATCATCGACGTTGGAGCCGGCAAACACGTAACGGCATTTTGTGGCGCGTGATGGGAATCTCTAGCAGTTTCAGCTACTGCGAAACGTGTACATATGCCTACACATATACTTATGCACACACACACACACATACATTAGCGTCGAATGGGCGCCCCATAAGTCTGTCGGTCCCACGCACGTCGTTGCATTTAAGTGCCAAATTAGAGCTGCGGACGAGCTGACGCGAACTCCAACTGCACATGACAGCCATTTATAAATCAAGCGTAGTACGCATCTTATATGCAATTTATAGCATGTCAATTCAGTCAGAAAGAAGGAACTGCTGCCTCATCATTGATATTAGCTATCAAGCAGTTGCCGGCGCCTAAAATTAATTGAGTTTCTTCAATAATGCTGCTGCAGCTGCCACTCCGCCAGCTGAGATGACGCCGGCTCCATATGGTCCATTCATGACACTTCTCATTCTGTGTTTTGACATTGAGGCAGTCTGCTCCAGTCAGCCAGTTCTTCAGTGAGCCAGTCAGGCCCCTATTTGATGGATGTGACATCTAGCGAGAGCTGACTGCAGTCTCACAGCAGTCCTAAAAAGTTGAAGATTGCAGCTGAGTGATGTAATTTTAGTTGTAGTATATATAAGCACAATAATAGAATATATGTATACATACATATGACGGGATTGTGTCAGCTTGATCGCCTAGCATTCTAATTTCATAATTTTATAGCTGCGCCTAAGCACACATTTCCAGCGTGTGTATCATTTGCCATTTTTAACTGTCCACTTGTATTCACGTTCTTTTTTCGTTCAAATCTTAACGAAACTGTCTGAAGTCGCCATTTCGCTCTCACTCAGCAGCACTAGCAACTAAGTTCAGCAACAGCTAGCTAAGTATATTTGTCTCTCTCTCACAAGCAAGCAACTAAAACGAAAACGCACGTGGATAATATTAATATACGCTATACAAGCTCTCAGTCACTCACTAATCTACTGCAACAGTAGAAGTCTCTGCTATATATATACATATATGTATATGTATAAATACAAAAAATAAATAAAAATAAAGCACTCTAAAATGTTAAAAGCCTGAATTGAGAAAAAACTTAAATTAGCAAACAGAAATTGCTTTAGAAACATGTCAAACGAAACGTTAAGCAATTTGTGTGAAAATTGGAATTAAATCTTTGATGGAATGGGAACAATGAAGTATTTTACTTACTTCTGACGAGTTACCTGCTTACGTGTGGCTTGCTGCTTTGTTCTAACACACACACGCACACACATACGCATGAATAACTACTACAAAGCCGAAAAATAAAACAAAAGGGGAAGGCATTTAAATATAGTTGAAGGAATTCACTTGCGTGCTTCACGGGATCCACCTGCTCAATCCTAATTTTATACCCACTTAGCATTTTGTGAAATCAAATTACAAATGTATTTATAATCTCTTAAGTAGCGCAATTACATGTAATTGGAATAACTAACGTATACTGGGAAACCTGCACGAGCCAGGTTAGAGGCATTCCATCCAGCTAGGCAAACTGCGTAGTTAAGTGAACTTTAATCCTCAAGGTGTCCAGCCAATCGAAACGTCAGTGCCATGGCAATAGCTCAAGAGCTAAAATCTTTTTATGCGAAACATTGAACATGAACTTAACAATGTTACTTGAGCAGATTGAATTAGAAGTTTTCGAAGCTGACAACATGCAATCGTTGAATTGTGCGTGGGGATAAGTTGCCATGTGAACTCAAGTACCTTGAAGCAAGGCAAGACGTTCAACGGAATTACAATACTTCGGCAATTTTATTATTGTATTATTTATTACATAATCAATTTACACCAAAAATGTTTGAGGTATATAGTTTGGCCAAAATGTGTGTTAAATTATTAGAAATGGGGAAATCGAGCAATTTATTATACAGAAATGCATTTATTTGGCAATTACTTCTTACTTTTTACCTATATATATATTGTAGAAATACAATTAATTGATTACATTGTAAAATAAAGATTGCAACTAGAATTCGACTATATTTTGCTGAAAACACTTTGAAGGTTTCCAATCTGGCTTTCAGAGAGCCGATAACTTTTAACTGATGTAAAAATTTATTTATATTTAAATTTAAATATTTTAGAAATTGTTAAAGCATTATCAAATGACTCTATTCTATTTAAAACAAAGTTCCAGTAATAATTTAATTCAAATATTAAATGTTCCATTCATTGTTTATAGAGCTTCAAGCTGAAAGTTCTCAAAACAAGCAAAAAGCTTTCAGATTCAGAAGAAAAGCTATTGAAATCCTAAGACTACAATACTCTATATAGGAAAAATTAAATGTTTCGTACATTTGAATGAGTAAGATCTTTCGTAGCTCCGTTAATCCCTCGAGTGTCAAATTGGCTAACCTTATTCAAAGTTATATGTAGAATTTTTTCCCTATTCGGTCTCGTTTGCTGTCAACGCATCTATGGGAAAAGCGTTGCATATTTTACGGCTGAACCCATTATGCCGGAGCCAATATGGAGACAGCTGCCCTTAGCCATAACTGTTGCCAAGCAGCAACCAGTCTTGGCATTGCGTATACGCCATGACGACACCCAGCCACACACACACAGATAGAGACACTCAAATCTTCAAGTTTATGCAAAAGGTGCGCAACGCTTTCATTTGCTTATATTCCATTCTATATTCTTATTTCAATATAAATTGTGCCCGGTGCTAGTCGGCTGCAAAGCATTACCCAGCTGTCTGCACAGCCATCCACAGTGCCTTCTGCATTGTTCGCCTGCATTATACATATATATATATATCTATATATATATATATATATATATATATATATATATATATATATATATATATATATATATATATTCTTTTTACTTTTTATCATCCCCTTTATCATGCAATGCAAATCGTTTGGCGTTGGGTTAAACATTTTTTCTCTGCATTTTATGCCATTCGCCTTTTGTTGCTTAAGCGTGTAATTTATGTGTGTGGGTGTGTGTGGCTGACAGTATGTGTATACTTCCGGATACTTTGCATGTCCTGGCACAACAATTTGCATATGGTGCCCATATAAAGGGCAGGTAAAAATTTTCTATTAGCCGCACATAAAGCTTAATTTATTGGCCCAGAACTTGGACTAGAGCTACCCGTTGGCCAGGAAGTCGCAATCAGTCCAAAATGTGGCAAGCCCTTCATTCACGCCTCCCCCACACTCAGGCCGGCCCAGTGCAAAAGTAATTTGATATCAAAGTAAATTAATAATGCAAAAAGGTTTTCTGAGTCGCTGGAATTTTCACTTTGCGTGCAGCAATGGAATTCGATGCCGCCTGCCTGGGCCTTTCGCCACGGCCCATCCACCCCTTTGTCAGAGTTTTAAATGGATGAAAATATTTCAAAAAGCTTAACCAGCCATACAGCGTGAAACGCCAGCCTGACAATCTGACAATCTGGCAGTCATCCCACC